GACAAGCGTTGCAACGCTTTTAAAGTTGGGGTCATTTTTTTACAATTAAAATAAAAATTTTGGAAAAAGGAGGTGAGCGTATGATCTGAATTTTTGTACATAAATTATTGGTCTAGACGTCAATGGATTTCTTGACATGTCAAACAATTTCAGCGGAGTCACTTTGAGGATTACTCTTTAAACTAAATTAAGACCTTTACATGGCTTAACTTTTGAACTTTTAAATATTCTAAACTCCTGAAGATAGACTTTGCGTTGTTTTAACTTTAATAGAGAAACTTACATGCATTATGGAGCGTGAAATTTAGTGAATTGAATTGAATTATTGACCTGAATAAATATATTGTTGAAAGTAATTTTAACAAAAGCCTTCTTAATTGTTTCTTATCATGCTTTATTTGTCATAACGCACCTTGCCTATCGTCTATTGTTCGCAACAGGTCTATATCTTTTGAAAAGACCTGTTAAAACAAAGAAAATTCGTGATGAGGTATATCTTATCAGATTGACCCTGTCATTTAACCACGTAAAATAGGCCTTTTTATGAGGAGACAAAGAGGATATTGACAGAAATAAAAAATTAAAAGAAATTTAAACGATTTTTAGATAAGTCATGTCAGACAAGTTTATGGACAATATCATGTTAATTGGATGTACTTTGCAATTATTTCAACATCTCTATATCAAATTTAAAAAAAATAATGGACAGCATATCAAAGTTAGACACATTTTATCATTTTTCAAAGTAATTATCATCTTAGCGGTTCTTCTGGCATTAATTAAGTTCACAATATGACAAAAGTGGACGCTTCAAGTTCATTTCAATGAAACTATATCAGTTATAATATCATGCCCATTACGTTATTTTAAATCACAAAATTCATCACTTCTTAAACGCCCTAGAAACTTTACAGTACATAAAACTATACCAAAAATACAAATTGAAAAAAAAATAACAAAATTATGTCCGTTTAAAACGCATTTGTGATTCACATAACGTCCGTTTCACGTGCGCTATGCATTTGAAACCGAAGCCAAAAAAATCGTTGTTGCTTCGGATCAGCCATTTCGCGACGATGTGTAAGTTGAATTCTGTGACACCGAGTGCACGTAGCTCGGTGTCATATGGAATTCGTGACCATGTCTTTCCTAAACAGAAAGACCTCATTCTCGGTCGATATCCTATACTTAGCTATATATAAGATTACTGATACAGGGGGAAAGTAAATTAATTATATGTAGGCTAATTTGCAGACTATTGAATCCTATACTTTATCTTAATTTAATTTCGACAAGATCATTCCAATGGAGAGCAGTCTGTACCAATGGTCATTATTTTACTTACTCTCAATTTGGTTTAACTTATTTACATGCTTAAATTCTTACTTAACGCTTAATAATCAAACATTTTACAATAATGGTTGTTTATGTATCACACTAAACAAATCTGAGAAGTGTGCATGCTTATTAGTCTCATACATGTGTCAACTTTATTACCAACGAATACAGATGATAGATATTATAAGAATCTTACACCGGCTGCCGGGACAGACCGGAATATCTAGCTCGACGGTAACTGTTTACAGCGGTAACGAGGCTCTACCGAGTTTCCGCTAAACAGTTACCCGAGAGCTAGATATTCCCGTCTGTACCAACAGCCGGTGTTTGATTCTTTTTCTTGCATATTACATGCCAATTATTTTCGGAACAGAAATAATGAAAACTGATATTCTCATTACGCACTTTTTTCTTATAGTAGCGGATGAACATACAACTTCATTCCTAACGGAAAAATGACGTCATCATAAAAACGCGATTAATTCATAAAAGGCGCGCTGTAGAAACTGCAATCATACACTGTTCTTTAGACATTTATTAAACAAATCGTATGATAGACACTGAGATAACCGTTAATGAACACAATCTAATTGTCAACAATTTTTCTGCTTATCCCTGTGGAGTGCAACAGAAACATCGAACCAAACTTTCTTAAGACTAAAATCTACCCCAAACTTTAATGTTGAACGATAAATCAAACTGCCATGCTGTTATCAAAGTCCACATAAGCATTCATTGACTTCGAAAAGACACCGCAGATGTAATGATTTTGTGACATTTACTTTTTACGCGTAGTCACATTTATTGGGCATACGTGTTAAATTAGTGTTTGTTGTGAAATTACATAAATGGAATAACATCATGTCTCTCAACTGTATATATTGAAAAATCCAGCATAATAATGTCAATATTGACTCACATTATAAGATATTCATACATGCCCACTTTAAAGATTTGTTTAATTTATATAGAAGTTAAATGTTTGTTGTTGCACATAGCTAAATATATATATTATTGTAAATACGTTTTGCTCTCCAAAAATGAAGGAAATAACAGAATGTGTGTATATGTCTGTCTGTCTGTCTGTCTGTCTGTCTAAATGACATTAGTTACACAAAGCCTACCAGTTCTCATACGATCACAAATTACCCTAGTTTGCTGAATTAATGACATTGTTCCTCCGGCAATTAAATACATGTGCGACGAAATCGTTTTGCGAATAATTGGAATGAACATTGATTGGAGCCTTTTTTAGTACTTTGTATCAAACTGGGCAATACTAGCTCACTGGTAAAACACTGACACAATGAAATTTGGTAATGGAGAGTTCACACAATAGCTGTTCATGGCATATGTAAAATCACCCCACCATTTTATTTTGTGTAATTGACTTTGTAAATGACTTGTAAATCAAAATATCTAGATAAGATTGTAACAACAGGCATACATGTAAACAGTGATATTGAAAAAAGATTGTGAATATGAAAATGACTAACTGCATGAGGATATTTTCGGAACAATCCCCAACAGGACTTGATTAACTTAGAAATTAACCGAAAAAGAGTCAAAACGTTGTAACGCAATTTCAAGTGTTACAACATATCTATAAGTGCTCTTTAATAAAACATTGAAAAATCCCGTGTAAATAGGAATGCAAGATTTCTATTATAGTAAGGTCACTCGCCTACATTATTATTGTTACCGATTCTACCGTAAGCAATCCGCAATGCAGTTGCTTTACAAAACTAAAATCATTTGCATACCACCTAAATTACATACTTTGAAAAAAGAAAAAACATTCAAACGAAACATCATGGGTTTAATTAGCATAGTTTGGACCGTTATAAACACAAAAATATGTGATCGTACCCTACTGTATCAGTCACCTAGTAACATATCCATATAAAGTCTTTGAGGTAAGCAACATCATTTAGTAAAATATCAAACAATTTGACCTAATATACTTGAGAAAAAAGTGACTCATTCGGCCATAAGTGTAAAGCACACAAATAAACATCAGTATCAAACCAAAAAAAAACATCATTCAACTTTAACAACAAGTGTCAAAGTTATTGATTTTACAATAATTATCTCTTTTCTACTCAAGTCGCCGCTTATATAAATTATAATACCACCGCTATCTCTTTTTGATCTCTTGTCAGGAAATTTTCTATATAATTAAAGCTAGTATATCCATCAATATCTATGTCAGAGTCACTATTAGTCTTAGTTTAAAATGTGCTGGCTGGTGGTTTTTTTCTTCCATTAATCCGTTACAATTCATTTAGCACATCCTCCAGCCCGTTGATATACAAGGTGTCATAGGACAGTTACACACGCTTACCTGCGTCCCTAGCCGCACCAAACCACTTTGGATCATTCCTAAGCTATTTCTCTCGGATATTGAGTTTCAATAGTACGTACGAAAGTCTTTTTAAGTACTCGGCCTAGTTTACAAACGGCCTCCCGATCCTTGAAACAATTTTTTTTACATATAATGTCCCTTTTTTCAAAGCCTGTTGGGTGCCCTCCGTACGCCATACGACGCGCATGTTCTGTTACAATTGAATTCACCGGGTCCAGTTCCACTTCAGCTTCTGAAACATCAAAGTTACAATTATAGCCTCAGTATCCTGCGGCAATTCGTTCTAAGATTCCTCAATCCCTATAAACAGGTCGCGGATGCTCTGAGATTGAAGATATGTCAGTTCTTTACGCATTTCAGAATTTGTTTTTAAAATCATGTAGTTGATCAAATTATGACTGCTGTTTACGAGTTCTAAACAGTAGACTCAATAGCTGTCTCTAATTTCTTCGCATATGACCTAATGTCTGTGAATAAATGTATATAAATCAGCATTACTTTGACAGTTCCCGCCTACCCCGTTACTACACATTTTAAATTCCTCAGAGCAACGCCATCTTGTTCTGAATTGATCATAAAAAGCAGAGTTAAGAATAAGCCTAATTCAAAATGCACTAACTGCTGTACCACTGTTCAAGTATTTTTTACTACTGTTAATAAGCAAATAGTGCTTATTTCCTTTTTCCGCTTACTATTTTTTTCATATAGTTTAGGTATTACACAATATATAAATCATTGTATCTTTGTTATGTAATTATTGAATAATCACTACCTCCGCCCTGACATCAGGAAATGTGCGACAGAGTCTTATTGAAGTTTTTGTTACCATATGTTAATATAACTGTTATCTAGCTCAGGGGCAGGGAAATATTTCGTAAGTTAATGCATCATATTTGGATTTATTCTGAAATGAAACTTAATTTGTTTCGCACATCATTTATAACCCGGGTGCATGTGAATTATTACTTTTTAAAAGAAACATTAGGTTATGTCTCTTATTATAAGACAGGTGTATATCTACTCTTACTGATAGTAAATTGCCGGCCAGCTTGAATTTATTTATGGCCAATAAAAAAAATATTTACGACTACTATAGACTGTGTAATATGTCCCTGCATATACAATGTATACGTTCCTGATAATGTTTAAGCAACGACGGAATGTACAGATAATGATTAACATTAATGGTTTGAATTTTAAATGATTATGACCAACATATATCTATTTCGAAAACATACAACATGCAAAGTTTTTTGCGTATATAATGTTCTACCCAAACAACGCCATTGTTATCAGTATGGCTGCATTTAACGAGTGTATCTATCATTAGTCTGAACTTGTTTTCCCCGAATTTCATCTAATTCAAACATTGACGAACCAATACTTAAACACACTTTCGGTCGGGTGATGACAATTTACATCAGGTGAAAACGTTATGAACGGAAAACAAAAGTACTTCTTTAACATTGTTCCCGTAAAATTGTCAAAACCTTAAATAAATGGACATGAAACATTTTATAAACGTATAAAATTATAAATTGAAACTCATTATAGAAAAATCTCTTGAGTAATTATATATATTTCTGTTTCATTTCAGGTACAAATACGGATACCCCTTATGAAGCAAAACTATACCTACAAATAGTATATATGTTCGTTGGATTGGGTACAAAAGTGCTTTTAGAGCTGTTTTTGTACCTACTGAAACATGATGAAATCAACATGTCACTTGTTGACTTTTTGAAATCAAACGAAACAAAACAAAAGTTAATAAAGTTACGCAATGATAAAGTAATTAATGAAAAGGAACACAGACTTGCAAAAGCGGACAATCCAAAGACAGATGATTTTGATATTTCTCTGTTGCTAATTTTAATGAGGAATTTGTTACCAAACGAAATACTTTCTCCACCAACACATGGATGGACAAAACCCCCACCTCGAACAGATAATACCATATCTGCAGATTTGTTACGTCTTCGAAAGATCCGAAATGATATTATTGCACACATTACAAGACCTCAAATTCCTGAACCTAAATACGATAGAACCAGGGATGAACTAATCCACATTTTTTACCGACTAACCCAAAAGATTCATCCTTGCAAGTCAAAAGACGCGATTATGAAAGAAATTCAAGAAAGAATCGATTCGTATCAAGTCTCTGTTGATTCACCACTTACCAACTTATACATCAGTCGTGTACAAGAGTGGAACTTAAATTTCACTAAAAAGGTTGTATTCTTTTAAAATGATAGTTTTGCTTTTCTTTGAAAAACATAAATTCAAATGACTTTATACTATTATTAATATATCTTAATTGTTTTATTAGATATTATTGAATTTAAAACTTATATTCGATGATTGATGTTTGATAGAATTTTAAAAAAGGCATCCTCTCTGAAACAATCTTACATTTACTGATTTTACAGGTAGAAGAATCACTCAAAACATTAAATGGTAAGATTTATTTATTTTGGAGCATTACCCTTTTTTATTTAGGTATTCGTGGACAAATTCTAGTACGATTGTAAAATTTCTAAAAAGAATAAATAAGCATAATAACATACAAAGTAGCTATTTTAGACAATTCACTTAAACGTTACAAATAGAACGAAAACAAGCAATATTGTTGTTTACATTGAATTGGCGTATTATTATTTTTATTGTTATAGTTAAGCTAACTGCAAACTACTGTTTTTTTTATTTCAGAGTTTGACTTGTACTTAACGAACAGATCGAAATGATACGACAGATATGTAAAATTACTTTTCAAAGGTGGCAAACATGTTTTGTTTGGTATTTTGAAAAGGGAATGCAAAAGGAAAAAGTACAATGTAGAAGATATGTCTGAATTCATAAAGTCATCTGACCATACCGAAATGGAGAGTGAAAGAAAAGATTGGAATAGCAATCCATCAAATTGGGATGTATGGCAACTGTCGATATTACTATTAGACAAGTTTGACGAGGATTTAAGTGCAAATGAAGTAAAGGAAATTGCCAATATACGCAACGCAGTTACAAATTATGCAGAGGCTATAGTTGCCTCTTTAGACAGTGATCGCTTTATTCCACTATGGACTAACTTGGTCAGTAGCATTAGAAGTATGTCGATGGGTTTAGACGCGGATATCAAACAGCAGTGCGATGATCTAATTGATAATTGTTACAAGGAAGCTGAAGTCGACCTTACATTTCTTAAACGGTATTTTCCAAAAATCAGAACATTAACAGATGAATACAAAGGTACGCAAATAAACACTTTATTAAACCATTTCTTTGCCATTGGGTTTTAAATCAAATGACATACAAGAATAAATCAAATATAGAGTTAAATGTGTATTCATATTTTCACATAAAAACATAATTTAAATCAGAAGTGACTATATTTAACTATTCCATAACGTTTCAGTACTAGTGAGGCAAATCAAAGACTTATTACAGGAAATGAAGGAACACAAAATACCATTTCAGGAACCCCAAAGTAAGTAGTTTCGTAATTTTGATATAATCACTCCACGAAAGTAAAAAAATAAGGTTTCTGGGCTGCGTTTCATGGAGAGTGCTAAATCTTAAGTCGGTCCTAAGATAAAAATTGAGACAATTTTGCGTTTATAAGAAAGCCTTAAAAAGGTTCTAACTTATGACTCCTATATTTATGACAAAAAACAGTGACAAAAAACAGTCCTAAGTCTAGGCGTGTTTTAAAGGTATCTTAAGATTGTTCTAATGTCAAAACCACTCCAAAATCAAAGATGGCAGCGTTCATGGTAGTATTTCAAACATGGAGGGCCCTGTACCGGGGGACAGGTCTCAGGTGCTGGTCCTTTATACTGACGAGGAGTTGATTTGTCGATACTGTACAAATTTCCAAGGGAATCGATCATGCAAATCACCGATATAGTGAAAGGGGATATTGAGAATTATTTAATTTTACCCGTGAAATATGGTGCTATATCAGTCAAATATTTTTCTTATTTGTTAAAAATAATATGAAATATAAAAAAGAAAGTGGACAGAGTCAAAACTCATATTTATTTCAATGGACTTCTTTCCCCATTTTGTTTGCGGAAAAAATGATGAATCAAAAACAACTTTTTGTTTTTGAAAACTGTCTAGAATGGTAGAATATGGTCTAACTAAGAAAATAAATCCGAACTCCAATATCTTTAATTCAGTCATTACCGCTGTACAGACGTTTAAAGAGTTGTTTACACGACGTCACAATGTAGCACGAAACAGCGCGTGCAAAAACAGTCAAAACAATATATTACAGCGCGCTGTACAATTGCAGTTGTGTTATTTTATCGTTTTTCATGAAATATGGTATATATTTTCACTCAACATGATAAGAGGGCAATACATTACTTTTTATACTTGTTATAATTTGCAGGAGAGCGAATTGGTCATAAGTCTTAAGTTACCACAAAAGATAGGACAGTTACTTCAAAAAACTTTTTTCTCCTAAAGTTGGTCATAAGTCCTAGGATTTAGGATTAACTTAGGACTCTCCATGAAACGCAGCCCAGCTGCTGTTATTAGCATACACACAGCCGCTTTTGGTTAAGTTTCTCACAATGCCCACCCCTCCCCTTCATCGAAAAGGTCACAAATATATTTCTTTTAATTGTGAAATTATTTGAAGGCACATTTTGCCTCAGAAATAAACAACATTTTACAACTTGAAGAAGGACAAACATTGATTATATAATGTTTAGATAATGGTTTCGGAGAATGTAAGATGCTTATTACCTGAAGTAGATGGCGATAAATGTGAAATTATATCAAATCATAAACCATAAATGTCATAGAAATAGCAAAATGTAGGCAAAGATGTATTTTGACTTCCATATATACAAAATACTTATTCACTGTAACTGTACTTATTGCCACAAAGCAACATAAGAAATAATATAGCACAGATAAATGCCCAATGAGAAACGTTTTGGATAGTGTAAAAGTACACGAAAATCAAAAAGATTTTTGGAAATGGAAATAAAAGCATTTCTGAAGCATAATGGGCCTTTAAGTTATTTGTTAGCTCTCTTATATTTATATAATACAGAATGTTATGGACGCGTTGTCGTCAAACAAGAGGACATAACACAGTCAAATATTTATACCCTTTTCTCAAAAAATAATTATTAGTCATTTATCATTATTGTACCAACTCTCTTTCTTCATTTATCATTTCAGATATTGTTTCAAAACTTTAAATACTTATAAATGACAAGCATCCCTACTTGTAGTCAAAAGACTTATTTTTGTCAAAAGATGTGTTGATAGAATTATACTCGTTTTTAAATTTAGATCACATATTTGTACCAATTATTTCTCTTACATTGTGGGGCATTTTTGTACCCGTTAAGGTAAAATGCAAAACTTTTTAATACTATTTATAAGCCATCACCTTTCTCCAGACAAGAAACATAACTCCGTTAGTTATAGGGCTTGACAAAATTGAACCGTTTTTTTTTTTTTTTTTTTTTTTTTTTTAAAGGAATTCCGGATTAGTTTTTGTGCCAGTCCACTGCATTAAATTTACGGGATTATTCCATTTATGGTATAAAATGAATAGATATTATGTGCATTGTTTTAAACATTGTTAATCTTTTATTCACCTGACCGACAATACTTTTTATCACTTTCAAGTATAGTTTTTAATGATCTCACTTCACTACACTATCAAGTAAAAGGTTTAAGGTATTTTTTTCCACTATCAAGAACTAATGATTTATTATTCAAGCGCGGGCACTTCTTGTTTATAGTTGCTATTACATCCCTTTATTTACAGAACTGGAATTCCAATTCATTACACTTGGGGAAAATAAAGAGAAGACAACAATAGCCGAAGAAATATTATTTACAGTGTGGCAGGAGGCATTGCGACGAGTTGAAGATTCAACTAATTTCAAGTCTGCCCGAATTGAAGTAGAAAAAATCCTTCAAACAATAAAAAATATGCCAGATCTCATAGATGTAACAGTCGTACGAAAATGCATAATTGTAAGAATCAGCTTTGATTCGCCAACGGGTATTTTGAAGCTCCTGAGTTTTTTGGAGGACGAAACCTTTCAAGAAAGCATTGAAATAATAGAAAGTGAATTAGAGGTCGTTTTCGATGGATGTATCAAAATAATGTCGAACTTCACGCTAGAATCACTGCATGAGATTACAACAAATATAGGTTGAATTAAATTGATAACACTCTCTCGTCCCTTTTTCAAGTTATTTAAAAAAAATTATGTTTAATTATATATAAGGGTTTAATATATTTTTATGGATATTTCCCCTTTTTGAATGTAAAATTAGTTCGTCATAATACATTGCGAGCAATATACTTATGTTTGGAAATTTTTTACCCGATGAATATTATGTTCAATTTCAATAGCAAATATGATTAATGTTAAATACTTTAAACAAATATTGTTTAAAATGTTAAAATTATGGAAATATTATGTATTCTTACAAAACCATGTTTAAATGAAATAATAAAATAGTGTTTTTATTTCACAATTTAGCTAAAGGTGATAAGGGAAAAGCAAATGTCATCAGACTCCCTATTACTTGCAAATCTGCCGATGGAATAATGGCAGCCTTGTCGTTTTGTCAAAGTAAAGAAATGGAGGAAAGCAACATGATTATATCAAAATCTTTTTCTGACAAACTTGGCCAAAATATTACTCTACAGACAGGTTTGGCAGGATTTTACAAACATTATGATGACACAGGTTTGTAGAATAGATAAAATATTTCAATGCGTCAATAACAGATAGCATGTCCTGTAAAAGGTTTCAATTATTATAGGATTTCTCTCGTTCTTTTTAAATCGTTAAGTATACAGTCAAAACGTAACGGAAAAAAGAGCCATTAAATAACGATTTCTGACAAACTATTGTCTTTTTGTCTTTTGTCATAACAACATTATTCGTACACATAATCAGTACTTTAATAGTGAACTTTTTTAAAACTAATAAGAAGAGTCTAGATCCACCAAAGAAACGATTGGTGAAGAGATGGGCATCATGAAGTGCACAACACAAACTGCATCTGAAAAATGGAATGGCTTTTTAGAACATGACCCGAGACAAAAGGGAAAATATGCTAGCAAGATGACTGGTGGGTATTTTTTATATAAGTGTTAGATAATCCGTTGATTGTGACTCAGTATTTTAATTCGATGTTTATACGATCACTCTCATTTATTTTAAGGAATAAATACCCTAATTGAGACCAGAAATATTTTGATATTTTTATCCTATTTAAGGTAGAGAAAGACTTTCAGTTTTCAAATTTTAGGCAATTTCACCATCTTATAGATTAGAGACTCACTCCGTCTATACGTTTTACAAAAATTTCAATCAACATGGCATAGATTTTATATATGATATTTTATTCAAATAATATCTGTTCTGATATCATTTCTTTTAACCCCATACAATTTACAATGTCTCTTTAAGAAAAAAAAAAGATCTTTGCCTTTAATAATATTTTACATCTTAAATAAATGCAGACCCAGGATTTGAACCTACATCTTAAGTCTGGACCACGGGAATGTAGTTATAAGGATAATGTTAGAAGAAAACCAAATCATTCTTAATTATAATTTCCGATAGAGTTTGTAGACTAATACATTTTTTATTGTAAAATTACTGTTTAGACAATAAAGGTTGCTTTCTTCCTATATTCCTATTAAAGTCATCTTTTACATTGTTCACGAGTTATGATGAAGATGAAAATTAATGCAACTTATGTTTAATTAATTATTTCTATGCAAAGCTTTACCTAGAAGATTTTGTGCGACAAGATGTCAGGTTTGAAATCAAAACATTATAATATGACTCTGTCTAAGACTAGTCAATAAACAATTTTATTGTCCTGTACTTTGCTTCGATAAAACTGGTATGCTTAAATAAAAAAAACACATAATTAAAGTGGTAATCAGACCTCTCCGCAGTGTTGAGGATGGTTGCTGGTGACATCCATTTTTGCCTATCAAATTACATTTAATGAATCTCATTTAAGCCTTAAATCAATAGAACCATTCTACAAACATGGTTATGCGCATGCTCTGTTTCAAAATACGACTTACTTAAACGAAAAGGAATTTCGAATTGAACAAATCGAATACAGGAAAAATCGGAAAATATCATTAACGTTACAGTTAACACAACGAACAAAGATTCATTCCGTTCTAATCCTTTAAACTGTATAAATTGATAATTGTTTTCTGATAAGCGTTTAACTTTCATGTTTCGAACTATAGTTACAGTTAACACCATAATAGCTACAATTTATATCTCCAAGCGCTATCATAAGACCGAGTGAAGCATGTACCAAAATTCTCTGCTCCTTCTTACTTCGCAATACTTCGATGATAAATGACAGAAATAGCCGACATGTTGTTGTTCGTCGCAGATGCTATTGAACCAATCGGATATAATTACATTCCCGCCATTTTATCAATTAGAGAAATCTTCCACAGCTGCAAA